TTTTTTTATGTTTCTTTTTTTTTAAGTCCCCCCTGCCGGCTGCCCCCAACTATGCCGTTTCACCATTAGCCTCAAATTAGTTTCCCTGCTTTGGCTGCGCGTGTGAAGAAATGGGGGTAGCTGTTGTAAGCTCCTCGCGGGGGTACTTAATTCGCCGCGGCAACTGTTTTACTACTGCGTGATTGTTTTCCATGCAGTTATTCTTCGCGATATTCTTTTCCATCGGTTTGCTCCTCCACTTGCACATATAAGCAGACTACAGCAGCCATTGTGATCCAGCCTTGAGCTTCATGCGCCCTTGTGGGGTATTTTTTTTTTTATGAAATATGCCCAATTGTTAGCACCTCCGAGTTAATAAACCAACGGGGGAGTTAAGTTCAACGTAACGAAAAGGGGTATTCTCTGCTCCCGCCGGGAACGGGGAAAGTGTATCCTCGGTCGGGTTGCAGGCTGGTGGAAAGCATACCCACGTGTACAATAATAGGTAGGCGCATTCGTTTGTGCATATTCAAACGAACTGTTCTGCGCTCCATGCGCATGGGTAAGCATTTCTCTACAGGAGCAGTGTGCCGCCAACTGTGCATGGTGCAAGGTGATGGGGGCAGCAACCGTGACGCTTCCTTATCGAAGCAACGTGCAGGTAATTCAGCCTGACCGAGGGCGAACAACTTACTGGTTAATTAATTTTCACATCAAAATGATCTGAAAGGGGTGAAGAAAAAAATAATGTTCCACACCTGATTATACTTTTTACCCCAACCTTGCTTTATAAACATTCGCGGAAAAAAGTGCAAAGACGCCATTGAGCATCGGATCCGCAGGCGTAAACCTGGGGAAGGGTGGTGGCACAACATATTAAGTAACATTTTGATTTACATTTTTATATGTATATATAAAAATATAGTTGGCGGCATTTTGGCTTTTTTTTTTTTTTTTTTTTTTTTTTTTTTGCAGCCAGGGGCTGGGTAGCTATTTTTTGGTGCCCCAAATGAAAGCGCCGTTGGCTACCTAACGCGGCCTGCGGCGGCGTCGCCACGAAGGGTTGCTGCATACGGGGAATACGCATAACGGGGGTAAGCATATCGGTTGCATATCATTCACATGTTCTTTTTATGTAGGCATTGGTCGCATGCGGGGAAATATTCACATGTATGTTTATAAGGCGGCATACTATGCCCCTGCTGGCTGTGTTTTTCGTTGTTTTTGTTTTTTTTTTTCCGCAGGGGCAGGAGGCGCGGGGCGATGTTGCCCCTGCAAAGTTGCTAAGCTGCAAAAAAAAAGTCGACATATTTTGAAGGCCACCTCCATTTTTTTTTTTGACGATAATTTCAATTATTTACCAATTTAGGGTAAATTTTTTAACCCCACGGAAAAAAAAAAGTTTATAACCTTCGTGCGACTTTTAATAATCGCCCTCTACAGAGCTGCATTTTCCTCGCTTAAAAAAAAAAACAATAATAAAAGAGAAACATTAAAAAAAAAGAAATCCTTTCTCTTTTTATCGTTTATATGTTTCATTTTTTTTTTAATTTTTTTTCCATTCTTTTCGTTTATCTCTTTCCCCCTTTTTTTATGCCAATTTTTTCATGCGAAACCTTGCATTCACCCCCTTGTTCTTTTTGTAGAAGGGAAAAATATAATAATAATAACGTAACCCCAATTCGCCCCTTCCCCACCCAACAGAAGAATTGTCGTGTTCGACATTTCTCACCTTTTTGCTCTTGTACTGTACGACATGAGTAATTGTATGTTTGCCAATGTATAGATCTGTTTGAAGGCATTTACTTGCTGGCTGAGTTTATGCGCGTTTGTATATAAACCCAACTTCCCTCGTCTTCAGCTTCATTTGGGTTAAACCAGCTATATATAAAGGAAGGAGGAAGAAGGGGGAAAAAAAGCATATTTTACTGAAGGAGCTTTGCCCCATTTCATAATCCTTGTTGGAGGAAAGTCCTTTTTTTGTAGCGTGATCTCAACGTGCAACTTTAATAAAAGCTGAACGAGAGGTGCGCTCCTAACGTAGTGTTTTTTTCGTCCGCGACAGCGAACAGAACTGCTTATTGGACTTTCTACTCAATTGCCTATTCGATCGCAAAATGGCTCTAGGATTATTTAAAAAAATAAAAGGGAGTGACACCGTCACACAGAACAAGGACGCCGCAGGTATGTTCTGCTTTAAACGGGTGCCGCTCTCCTCCGCTGCGCCAACGCCGCTCCCCTCCGCTGCGCCAACGCCGCTCCAACGCGGATGCACCGCTTTCCGTTTATGATGAAAAAAAAAGGGACTGAACAGATTTGATGAATCTCATAAAATTTTTCACCAAGATCTCTGAGATAAGAAATGTGCACATCCTCGTGTGGCTGCAAGGGGGAGGGGGGGAAGAAGAAGAAGAAGACGTTTTTTTGTGTGTGTGTGTGTGTATGTCCCCTCCTCTTCGTCCACCTCTACACATATTGGTCGTTCATTTTTTTTTTTTTTTGTTCCCCGCGTAGAAGAGGACAACAAAGTGGACAACAAGCTGACGGAGTCCACCGCAGCGGAGTCAGAAACAAAGTCCGCGGTTGCAGGAAAGAAGAATAAGAAGAAGAATGCCAAGAAAGGTAAGGCAACGAAGAAGGACTCCTCGTCTGACTCGTCCAGTTCATCAGACTCTTCCGATGATAGTGACGGAGAGGCGGTGAATGGAGTAGCGAATGGAGAAACGAATGTAGAGGAGGAGAAGGTACAAAAGGACTCTGGAAAAGTGGCCAAGTCCAGCTCCGACTCGTCAGATTCGTCAGACTCTTCCGATTCCTCCTCAGAGGAGGAAGAGACCAAAGCTGCCAAGCCAGCCAAGGGTAAAGCGGCCAAGGCAGAGAAGACAGCTAAAGTGGCAAAGGGTAAAGCGGCCAAGGCAGAGAAGGGCAAGGGAAAGGTAAAAGCTGCTCAGGAGAAAGCGGCCAAGAAGGAGGCAAAGAAATCGGACTCAGATTCAGATTCAGATTCCGATTCAGACACGGACTTCGATTCAGACTCGGATTCCGACTCAGACGATGATGAAGCGGAACAACAGAAGCTGCAACAACAACAGAAGCAACAACAGAAGCAGCAGAAGAAATTGAACAACAAGGCAGGAGCGGGAAACGCCAGTGGCCAGCTTGCCAATGAACAGGCCGGAGGAAAGAACAAAAGGAGAAATGAAATGGTCGTGGCGGACAATAACAAGGGAAAAAACAAAAAGCAAAAATTTAACAAAAATGGAAAGGATAGCGTGATGAATAATGATGGTCAGGATGATGAGCAGGAAAATGTTGAAGAAGACGGTGAAGACGATGCTGGTGATTTCCCAACTGAGTTCATAATAACCATTCTTAACATAAGTAGAGATACAGAGGAACAAGATTTAAGAACTTACTTGAAGGAATTATTGGGGGATGATTATGTTGAGGAAAAACTACTAATTTACATGAATCGACTTTACAACAGTGCTTATGTATATTGTTCAGAAAAAAGTATAACGGATATATTTGCTACTAAATATAATGAAAAGTTTAATGGCGTCCCCATAAAAATTCACCTGAACCCTAATGCCATGTCTGCAGTTACTCTATCCCACATGGGAAAAAACACCACAGAAGAGCAGCTAAGAAATGCTTTCGAACAGTACGGGAATATCACCAAGGTCAATTTTTTTTCAGGAGGAACCAGAGCACAGGTTACGTTTGAAAATTTGGAAAGTTGTGTGAAGTCATTAGAACAGGATGGCCTGCTCATAGGGGACAGTTACGTCCATGTGGCGTTGATGCTGAGTGGCAACAACTACAACAGCAACTACCACAATAATTACAACCACAACAATAATAGTAATTACAACAATAATAATAATTACAAGAATAATTTTGCTGAAAATGGGTATGGCAACAGGGGAAACAGAAATAACTACCAGGGCAACAATGGCCAGGATAACGATGGGGCAAATGGAGGAGGAGGCAGGGGCGGCAATTTCTTCGGAAAGAAATTTGGCCACGGTAATAAGTTCAACAAGGGCGGAAATAACTACAACAATGGGGGAGGATTCAACAAGGGAGGTAACTTCAACAAGGGAGGTAACTTCAACAAGGGAGGCAACTTTAACAAGGGAGGCAACTTCAACAACAGAGGAGGATTCAACAAGGGTGGAAACTACAACAATGGAGGAGGCTTCAACAATGACGACGGAAACGGCAAAAAGTTCAACAAGAAACCCTTCAACAACTTCAAGAACAGGAAGAACCAGGAGTTTGATGCGGGTGCGGACAACTAAGGGGGTGAGAGGGGGGGGGGGGCTCCCGCCACGGCATAGCACCGGCGGGAAGTATATTTTCCCAGCCACACATCCTGCTCGCCTATTTTTGTGCAGCCCTCCCAAACAGCCCATTTTTAACACACCATGTTTAACGCACCATTTCTAACGCACCATTTCTAGCACATCATTTCTAGCACACCACTTCTAGCACACCACTTCTAGCACACCACTTCTAGCACACCACTTCTAGCACACCACTTCTAGCACACCACTTCTGACGCACCCTATTACAATTTTTTTGCGCGCCATGTCTCACGAGCCCGTTCTCACGCGCCATTTCTCAGGCACCATTTCTCACGCACGCAAGGGAGAGCTCATTTGTTGAAACCTGTACGCAGCGGGAACGGCATCCCAAGCCCGTTCTTCCCTCGCTGCTATTTGTTCCACGTACGGATGTACGGCGCCAGTGCGCATAATTGTGTTCATATCGTGTGTGTGTATTTTTTTTTTTTTTTTTTTTTTTCTTCTTCCCCACGTTTGTTACACCAAACTAATTTAAGTCCCCACTGAGACGTTTAAATCCGTGCAGCTAGGAGTTCAATTTAAAAAAAAAAATTTTCAAAAAAAAAATCGAGGCGAAGCTGTCTATTGGTGTTTTACTGCAGACGCAACGCCGCAATGTCGTCATGAGATGGGCGTATATATACGCACTACCGCGTGGTTTTGTACCCCTCACCCCTTACCGCGGCCAGCAGCGCCTCCCAGGTGGGCCGCTGGCGATGGTCATAGGTGAGCATGCTGCGCAAAAGCAGAAAGACATCCGGGCGAGAGACGCACGCCTGCAGCCCGTGCACCTTATGTTGAAAGGCGTGCGGATCATCAACATGGTTCAGGATGTCCTCCTTCATCGTCACGATGTAGTAGAAGCAGAGGCCTAAACAAAAAATGTCATTCTTCACGAGGTACCTCTCAATGTGCTTATTTTTCTTGCCTCCATTTTTCACCATGTTCTTTTTTTTCCTCAAGTAGGAAAAAAGTTCAGGCGAAATATATCTTGGCAGTCCTCTTCTCCCATTAATAACGTAATGAAAATAATTTGTGAGTTTTACCTTCGGAACAAAGTTGCCGAGGAGGATGTTGAATCCACTGTTGTCTATGAAGAGGTTGGTAGGCTTGATGTTTCCGTGCAGGATGTTTTTCTCTTCCAGATGACACATGAGCTTAATCAGTTTACACAGATTTCCTAATATCAAATTGGAATCAAATTGGTAAGCCATGTAGGGCTGTACCTTTTCAATGAACCCCTTCACGTTTCCGTTGAGTACAAATGGGGTTAAAAAAGCAGCCACGTAACTCTTCTTGTTGAATTCGCTCTTTTGCACCATGATGATGTCACTGTATGGAAGTACGCCCACACTTTCGTAGGTCACTTCGTCCTTCCCACATGGGGGGGGTGTTGTTGTTGTACGTTTTACACTGCCGCTTAGGCTTCTCCCGTTGGGTGGGATGTCATCCTGATTATTTTGCACCTCGCTTTCCACTCCGCAGCTCTCCTTATATTCGTACAGCGCCTGTCTTATGCGCTTCCCCTCGTTGATGAGCGTGTTAACCTTTAGGTTGCTCGTGTTGGCTTCTGAAAAAATAAACTCCCTGTCCCCGATGAGAGTTTGGTCGCACTCGATAATTTTGGCGTTGTACAAGAAGGTCCTAAATTGGGGGGCCCGCGCTCCACGGCCCTCCTCACCCTTTCGCCCCTGCTTAACTGCTCCACGGCGATCCTCACCCCTTTGCCCTAGTTGCTTAACGCCTCCCCCGAGCTGCCCCCTTTTTAGGGCCTCCACTAAGGGGTCCCCCTCGATAAACACGAAAGGTGAGTCCAAACGAAGTGCGTAATGAGCGGACCCGGCACTCACAGCAATGTCGTACTTCTCATCAATGGTGTTAATTTTATCCAGAGTTTCCTTAAAAAACTCCTTCTTCTCATTTAACCGCAAGAGGATTTGATTAGCCTCGTTAATTTGGTCCGCGCTGTCCCCACCCGTGTGAACCCCGAGGTTGTCTGCCTCCAACGCGTCCACGTCCTGCCCGTAGTTTTGCTGCTCCATTTTTTCACACACCCGTTGTGTCACCTTCATCAATTTGCTCACACGATTTAACCCTTTCTTGAATCTGCTGTGAACAACGTTCCCATTATATTTGACCACATAGCTGTGTCCGAATTTGTTGCCCTGCCCCGCGTTCTCCACGGCGTAAGCGAACTCGCTTGGCCATATAATGCTGTTTCGTAGTGTCCCCCACTTGGTCATGTTTGTGTGTACGCGGGCGGTTCTTCTAGGCGGCTGTCTAAAGGTGGGTTCCCCCCTTTGGATTGGTTTGGTCTGCTTTTATTTGGTGTTTTTTTTTTTTGTTGTTCTTCAGGTAGCCAAAAAAATTGCAAACTTTGGCTAGCTGTCCAAAATTGCCTTAATAGGTCAGGCGAATTTGCTCCAGACTATACACACACATGTTTGCATAATTATGTTGCGCGCAGCCCGCTCGAACCCACGGGGGATAAATGTTGTCCCCTGCGACGTTGTGACTTTGTTGCGTGACGTTTAAAAAAAGGTCAAATGGTACAAGTTCATCAGTGACACAAAAAAAAAAAAAAAAAAAAAAAAACAAAGTAGAGGGAAAATCAAAGTGGTGAAAAAAGAATTGCCCCAAGTGGTGGGGTAATATGGTGGAGCATTCGCTCCAAGCGGTTTGAAGTGGACACACATTGGTCAACACACACGAGATGTTGAAGTCATCCCACTTGGCACAATGTGCCGTGCGAGCTACCAACGAGTAACGCCGCGTGCATGGGAAAACGCGCAATCAGGACAAAACGTCTTCCCTTGCATTGGACGCACTCCACCGATGCTTGCACACAGGGGGATGTGGTGGCTCACAAACGGGGTTAAAGAGTAAAGTTTAAAATTTTGGACCTCATTTTTAAAATGAGATTATCCAGAACGATGCAAAAGATGTCCCTGCGGGTGGAAAAAAAAAAAAAAAAAAAAAAAAAAAAATGAACAATCCGGTGTGCGCATAAATAGCGAAAGCGCAAAAGGGGGTACTTGCTTCCCCAGCTGTGCAATTGGCCACATGTTTCATTCAATCTGAGTCACTCTCAGCGTGGTTATCTTTTCCTCTTTCTATGTCTTTCTCATTACAAAGAATTTTTAAAGTTGCGCAAGGCTTTGCAGTTGAAGACCAGGTTGTACAAGCACTTCGAGTACAATGATTTTATTTCACTCGTTTCGAGTCCGTACCTGCGGGGGGAAAAATGAGTATCAAACGTGACAAATGGACAGGGAAGTCAACAAAACGGGGGAGCACAACCTGCGCTGCGACACTGGTGGGCGTATGCTGCAGTCTGGCCCAAGTGTGCCGAAATGGGCGCTAATTATGTTGCCCCTTTATTTTATTTTATTTATTTTTTCCCCCCTTCGTTTACTTGCGTGCCACGGTATAGATGTCCTCGCTGAACAGGTCGTACACGATGAGGGAAAAGTAAAAGCGCTTGATTTTTGCCCACTCGAAGTTCTCGTAGATCTCGTCGATGTCGATCCTGGGAGAGGGGAGGGGGCGCACGCAAGAGAAAAAGCATTAAGCGGGGGAAGTGTGAACACGCTGTGCGTGCTGCTGTGCATGAGTTGTGTATGAACTGTGCATGAGCTGTGTATGAACTGTGCATGTACGGAGGACGTATGTACCAACGGCGGGTAACGCGTCTGCACGCCCGCGCGCGCAAGGCCGCCATCCGCTTACTCGCCGCGCATCATTTTCATGGCGCACTTGGCGCTAAGATCGTTGTTCCTGCCATCCCTGAAACGCTTCAGCTTGTCAATGCTCAGATCGAAGTACTGAAAAATCTTCCGCACGTCCCCGCCCTCGGGGCCCCGTCTAGACTTGAGCACCTCCTCGTACACGTCAAAGTTGATTTTGAACGAAACTTCCGGGTAGATGCAGAAGACGAAAATCATCAACAGGATGTCCGTGGGGAAACCTTCGAAGGGGGGGGGAAAGCACGGCGGTGAGCGAAAAGGAGCAACATGACACACACAACAGTGCCTGCACAAGCGCGCCTACACAATCGCGCCTACACAACAGTGCCTGCACAAGCGCGCGTAGAGAACTTGGCGCACTGCGCGTGGACCCACCTTTGACGTACACGTACTGAATGAAGGAAAAGTTGAAAATGAATTCCAGCGCGTTGAAGATGGGGTGCACATACGGAGAAGCCTCCGTGCAGCCAATCACATCGTCGTCCCTCAAAATGTCATACACGTAAAAATCGAATTGCCTGCTGTTCATATTAAGGAGAAATAAATATTTTACAAATTGCACAAACAAATTTTGGAAGATGCTTTTATTAAGCTTTGTATCCTTGAAAATGAGTAAAATGGTTAAAAAAGGGAGGGAAAAAAAAGGTTTTTCTTTTTTTCCCTTGTTCATAAACTCCTTCCTTTTGTAATTATTATGCAATTTTTTAAATAAGTCCATTTTCTGCTGTATGTTACATTTAATTAAAGTGTCCACGTTAATGTACTGGCATAGTAAGTGGAAGTCGAAAATCTCTTCCATTTTGTACAGGTTGATGTTATATATTTTTGCAAACACGTAGTAGTAGTAAGACTGCTCCTTCTCGTATGGTATGATGATGAGTTTGTTTTCGAAGAGGTATTGGAAAGTCTGCTTTATTTCCTGCATTATTAAGTCTGTATAATTCACGGAGCTCCTACAATTGGCGCCACTTTTCCTTTCCTCCTTTTCATGCACTTTAAAAAACTTAAGTGTGTACAGAAGGAGGAAATCTAACATCTCCTTCTTCGTCTTGATCAGATTCAGATCGATGAACTCCAGGATGAATTTGCAAAGTTGGAAGTTGTCCAGCGTTGATTTCAAGTTGCACATGTTCATATCATCCTTTAGGATTTTTTCCATGTACCGCTTATCGCATGGCTTGAGGAAAACCAGGACCTTCCCGTCGCAATCCTCGTCGTAGTCCTTCACGGAGTTGCACATGGCGTCTTGCGCGAGGACTTCACTACTGCTTACCGCGCTGTTCGCACCGCCTGCTTCCCCAGCGAGGTACTTCCCATCGCGCGTCTTCTTCACGCGCCCACAACGCCCCGACATCTGCATGATCATGTCCTTTGTCATGAACGACCTGCCTATCCGTATGTCACGGATTATTATCGTGTGCACGTTGAAGCTCACCCCCACGCACAGGGTCGTCGTGCAGCACAGGCAGAAAAGGGTGTTGCTCCTAAATGCATCTTCCACTATTCCTTTCTCCTTATTCTGCAACTCCGAGTGGTGATAGAAAATCCCCCTGAGGATTAACTTATCCACGTCCGGAGTCTGTACGCTTAGATTCTTCAGTTCTGTCACAAGCTTCTCCCTCCTTTCCAACACCGCTGTCTTTACCTTGTAATCCCTGTTTTTTAAAAAGTGTGGCATAATGATGCTTATAAAATGCGCCACCTGTTCGCATTTCTTCTTCGTTCGGCAAAAGATCAGAACGTTTCTCTGAAGAATGAGTTCCTCGCTCAGCAGGTACACCAGATGGTCCGGGTCCAGGTGGAATGGCACATCCAGCGTCCTCTCAAGCTCCTGCTGGTGTATGTCTTTGTATATCGCGTTCCCTATCTTGTACAGGTGCTTTATATTCTGATTCTTATCCTCGCTCACGTGCACCTTGGCGTCCAGCCATTCGCCCAACTGGAAGGGGGCACCATGTAAGGAAAAAAAAAATAAAAAAAAAAAGTGAAAATGGTCAAGTAAGACACGAAATCGCCTGAACGGCAAGGTGCAATTTCCGCTAAATAGTCCAGTTGCACCACAAAAATCGCCTGAACAGCAAGGTGCAATTTCTGCTAAATAGCCAAGTTGCACTACAAAAATCGCCTGAACGGCAAGGTGCAAATTCCTGCTAAATAGCCAAGTTGCACTACAAAAATCGCCTGAACGGCAAGGTGCGATTCCTGCTAAATAGCCAAGTTGCACCACACAAAACCGCCTGAACGGCAAGGTGCAAATTCCGAAGCATAAGGCGAAACGCACCTGATGCGCATTAGACAACGTTGCGGAAAAGCCATAGAGCCGGAATTTAAAGTCATTCTCGTAGTTCCCCTGGATGTACTTAATTTTCGTGAGCAACAGCTCGATGAAAACGGATCTCCGCATATAATTAATGTAGTGAATTTCGTCCATGATAATAATATAACTGGACTTTAAGTTATTTTTTATAATAATGTTGATTATGTTGTTGGCTTGTTCATACGTGCAGATGGCAATGTCGGTGGACCTGTCGTAGGAGTTTCCACTAAAATTGGAGCTGTTAAATTTTCTTATATTTAGCGACACGCTGTTTTCTCCGAGGAGCTTTTCGTAGTAATCATTTTTTTCATTAATGAGTGCCATTGTGGGGAGGGCTAATATAGCTCTGTACCCCTTGTAAAGGATCATTCGAATCATTAAAATGTCGTATATTATGGTCTTTCCCATCCCTGTTGGGATGTTGAATAGGAAATTCTTGTAAAAAAAGTTATTCTTTGTGTCAGCTTTCAGGCATACTATGTTCCATTTGTCGTGACAGACGTGTGCGTTTGTTGACCCCCTCCGTGGGTATACTTCGCACCCTCTTCTTTCTTCATATATGTGTTTGAATTCATCCAGGGAGGAGAAGGACTCCGCGTTGGAAAAGTAGTCTATGCTTGGGGAATATTTTTCATCAGCAGTTCTTTCCTCTTGCGTCATTTCCTCTACCTTACTTTGCACACTATTTTCGATTTGTTCATTCTGAAGGATGTCCCTCAAGCAGTCCGCCTGCACCTTGTATAGCTCGTAGACTCCTAGGCTGTTGTACTCGCTGCGGTGTATGTGTGTGTGAGGTGGGGGCAGTGATGAAGTTGGCCACTATATACATTGGATGCAAATGCATGGTGAAGAAACTCGCAGAATGCTTCTCCCTTCACTCACCTTATGATGGATTGAGGGATGCAGTAATATTCGAACATGGTTTCATCCAAATGTGCCTCTCCCCCGAGGTGCACCAGATCATTGACTCTACTGTACAGGGAATTCACATCTTGTATGCTCGACTTTGAGCCTTTCTCTGCGAGGGGAAAAAGGCGGCAAAGTAATGCTCATGCAAGTAGCGTCAATTTGGCAAAGTTTTTTCCCCCGCCGCTTTGTTCCAATTTTCCCCACTTACTGGATATGTTTAGCTCTTTCAGGATGTGGTTGTCCACCTTCACGACGTCTTTGTAGTCCTCCTATGCAAAAGGGAAAATCGCGCACGCGTGGGGGTCAGCAAAGGTGGAACGTATGAGCGCTCAGGTGTGTGTGTGTTGGCGTGCGCATGTTGGCCTGCGTATGCTGGCGTGCTTTTTCGCTTTACTAACGTAGGTGTAAATCTGGCCAGACAAGGACACGTAAATGAACTGGTGCCTACCCATATATTTTTTTTTCCTGTAAATTCCTAATCTGCTCGAAGGTGGAGGAAAGGTGAAGGCAGTTCAATAAGGGAGCATTGCGTAAAGAAGTATAAAAACCCAGGAGAGACATAGCCCCCCCCTCTGGTTTAAGCCAAGTAGACAAAATAGGGGGAGAGACACACCAAGGACACGCAGGGGGAAAGGACACGGTGGCACTTGGTTTAGGTTACAACTTGTCCGCGGTTTGTCACCAAAAAAAAAAAAAAAAAAATTATAAAGTACAATTTAGCGTAGCATTATGCGTCTGGGACTGATCGGACTTGATTTTCCCACGTTCGGTATTCGCTCCGATCTAACCTTCTATGACACATGAACGGGTTTATCCTTTTCTCCTTTGTCTTCTGGTAGGGTGAGATCATTGTTGCGCATAGTTTTTAAAAGGAACGGAAAAAAAAAAAAAAAGGAAAAAAAAAAAATCTCCTATCAGTTCGCATAATACACAACACACACTTATGCGCCAAAAAAAAAAAAAAAAAAAAAAAAAAAGGGGAAAAAAAAAAAAAAAAAAAAAAAAAAAAATGGGAGAAACAAAAAAAAGGTGTAGTGCGAAAGAGTGGGGGGTTGTAACCCCAAATTCATTTTGTCACAAATTCGTTCATTTGATTGTGTGATGGGAGAGAGAGAGAGACAAAGGTGTAATGTCAAGTTCGCTACAAGTGGGTGCCAATTGGTTAGCGAACAGTTTAGGTGTGGGGGTGAGGTAGGTCTTTTGGGGGTGTCTCCCTCTCGGGGGGTTGTCCTTCTTGGTATGGTTCCCCTTTGGTTTGCCCCTTTTCTTTTTTTTTTACTTTTACTTTTAATTTAGTTTTTTTTTTTTTCTTTTTTTTTTTTTTCGTATTCTCGTTAGGTCAACATTCAACAAGGAGGGTTGCGTGAACTTGGTCTGCCGGGGCAGGGTCGCTGTGTTGCTTATTGCCCTTGCGCAAATTGTTCTTGGCTGGCTGATCGGTGGCACTGCCTTTAAGGGGGATCCATGTCCTTAATTCACTTGGGTAGCGACGCACATGAATATGCATGTACCCCCCCGCCGCGCGCTCGCTCCTACCCTTGCCAGGTTGACGCCCAGAATAAAATCGGCCAAGCAGATGGAAGTATATTACACGTATGATGGAAGTGCGCATAATAATACACGCACGAATGTATGTACATGCAATCACCTGCTCGTGCGCGGATTGCACTTTTTTTTTTTTTTTTTTTTTTTTTTTTTTTTTTCCAACTTGCACAACGGGGAAGCTCGCCAAATGGAAACAAAAAAAATAAAAAATAAAACAATTTGGCTGTTTTTTTTTTTTTTTAACCCCATTGGATGAATACAACAATGTGACCTGTTAATAGGGAAGAGATAATATACTTCCTCATGTTGGTGAAAGTAGCCCTGAGATCGACAACGGGCGTAGGAAAAGGGGGCAACTAGCGACCGGAAAAAAAAAGTGACCAACGTTGACAACACCTGACCAACGGCTACGCATTTCCTACAGCGGAGTGTCCGCCCCCCCTTTCGCCGAGGGGAGAATGCCGTTCCAAGCAGAGGGCCACAGGCAGGTGATCGAACCTATATATGCACAAACGCATAATCCACTAGGTGAAGTAATGCATAAGGAAAATGGAGGAAGAGAGAGACGACCTCACGGCGATGATGAACATGATGGTACGACGCAAAAGCAGTAAAACAAAAAAAAAAAAATGCGTATGCGAGGGAGCACGAATTTTTTTTTTTTTTTTGTTTCTTCCAACATGAGAGGAATACAAAAAAGGGGCGTCAGGTTGAACTCCTCCCCCCCGATAAGATATTCCTCGTGAGAGATTGTCCCCCACCCCCCCCTCTGATGTGAGAATTGCTTGATACATCCTGATGTGCCTTATCTCTGCAACATGTTATGCCCACCCACCCCCATCAACGCACAGGAGAACACCCCTGAGCATAATATGAAAATCTCCTTCTTCGATGATGGACAGTCTATGGAGTCCAAGAAGGAGAGAGACAAGGAAGAGGACCTCCCCCCCGGCACAAACAATGAAGAAATAAAAAGCCGAGCCAAACTACACGACGTAACTGTTAACAATGAAGACGAAGCAGTTATGTTTGTAAATCTGAAGAAGAAAAAAAGAATGAACCCACATGATGAATACTACTCTGTTAAGCTGCCCAAGTTTATAGGTGTGTGTCCTGATATAAAGAAGCTCGATCAGCGCGCACGTGGTGAAGGGGTATACTCCGGTGAAACGGAAGGAGCTCAACGCATGGAAGACGTAACCCACTTGACCGAAGCGCGCAACGTGATTGATCTCGAAGGGGAAGGTCGCCACCCCCCACACAAGGCAAAAAACCAACAGGCAATAATATGCTGGAAATTTGATGTGGATGCATATGACAGGGAAAAGGAGAAAAAGGATTCACAAAGACGTGAGGAAGAGCTAGAAGGTCACTCAAATGAAAGCGACTTGGCTCATGTGACAGATGATGACCTGTCAGATTATTCCACTGTCGATGAGCTTTACCAAATGTACGATGTCACTCACAATGGCGATGATCTGATGAGCCTTCCATGTGATGACCCAAATGAAAAGACAAACATTTTGTGTACAAACATGAAATTCCTCGAAACCAATTCATTCATTGTTGAGTATGAGGACGGCAAATTTATTTTCTTTATTAATGAAAAGCCATACCTTGTGGAGTCAGACAAGGAGACAAATTATCTAATTGAAATGTCCGATATGAGTATCATGCCTATTCACTGCATTTTAGAAAAAAAAATTTTCCTCAAGTCGATCACTCGGGAGGAACAGGGTGTCCCGCAGGGGACTGCATCGCCGGGGAGGGGCGACACATATTACTCGCTGCACGGGTAAAGCGGGTTAAGCGGTGAAGTGGTGAAGCGGCGAAGCGGCCGGACGTGTTGGGGTAGCCCCCCGTTCGAAGTTGCGCATCTTTTCTTCCGTCGAATGGGTCTAGGTCAGATGACCGAGAGGGAGGAGACACGCTGGGGGGGTATAGTTACATTGTGGTGCCCCTCCATTTGGAGTCCATTTGGACTCAGTTCGGTCTACGTTCGCATCGCTGTCACCGTGATCACTTCCGTAACGTTGAAGCCCATGAAGTTGATACGTCCATATGGCCATAGCCCGCATTCCTCCCTCCCCCTTGCCCTACGTGTTCCATTTTGATGAGGGAGGATGTGCGAAAGGGTGTAGAGGGGATTTCCTCGGAATTTGTCTGCAAAGCCCTCCCCCGTCCCTCGATTTATGTCATCACATGTGTAACTTCCCTTTTTGAAGATTCATGAAGAGATATTTTTTTTTTTACTTTGTTCCATTCGTTTGTTCATTATTTATGTATTTATTTATTTTATTCTTTTTTTTTTTTTTTTACACTTTGGTTTAAAACCATGTGTCCTCTCGTGTTTTGGTCCATCTCTCATCATACGGAGATGCGTTTGCGAATGGACAAGAAGTTTGTCCCAATGTGTGAGTCACACAATGTGTTGTAAAGTTGGCCGCAGTTTGCCACGAAGGGAAATTATTTGGCTGTTTTTTTTTTTTTTTTTTTTTTTTTTTTTTTTTGCCTTAACTGAAATAGCTAGCTGCTTCTCTGCGAACAAAAGGAGCAACGCTTTAAAAGATTGTTTTATGGCACTCTCGGAGTTTGTTTTTTTTCCCAATTTGGTGTAATCGACCTAGGGGGGTCACCAACATGGGCACAGTTGGAACAGCTGGCACAATTTGCACAGTTCGCTCAGTCTGCACAGCGGAAAAGACCATCATTTGTGCTTCAACAAAAGGGGGAGAGCATCACCGCAGGAAAGAACCACTGAAATGACTCCCTTGCGCGCGGTGCTGAGGTTCGTGACAATGCATGTGTGGATGCATTCGGTGGCAGGGTGATGACGTGGACTCGTCCGGGGCATGGGGATTCCAACGGATTGCTCTTGATCGCGCGACACAACGCAAACGGGAAAAAAAAAAAAAAAAAAAACAGGGAAGAAAACGGAAAAAAAAAAAAACAGAGCAAAAGGGAACAAGAAAAAAAGCAAAATAAAATGAGGTGAATTGAAGTGAAAGAAAAAATCATGCCGCCCTCTTTGTATGTCCCCACTGCGCGAAGGGAAAAGCTAAAACGATACGGCATACAAAACTGCCCGGCTCAGTTGGCCAATCTCGCAAGGTGCCTGTCACTTGAAATTTCGCGTGCGTGTTAGCTCATAAAACCGGTAATCATTTGGAAGTGCTCTCCTGCACCAGCCACAGAGGGGACAAACCCACATGCAGGAATTGGTTATCCTCCAAATTGGTGCGCACACGCGTAGGCACGGGCGAGCTTTAAGGTGGTCCCCCGTCTAACCGCCAATCTGGTCACCCGTCCAACCGCTGAACCGCTGAACCGCCAATTCCCCCGACCCGCGCGATGGAATTCATAAAGGAGCAGTACAACTCCCTTATTCTAGAACTTAAGAAGAACTTTAGAACCCCCCGAGATGGAATATCCCACGTGCTGAACATAGTGTGTTTGCTGTTGAATGCCTTGATGCTTTGGAAGCTGCTGGTTGTGTTTACAGGTAGGGCAGCTGTGCGTGTGTTGTGTGCACATGAAGTTTTTGCTAATTTTGGAGGCACCACTTGGTTGTGCTGTTTGGCGTTTCTTCCCTTCTTGCATCGTTACAACGCAAGAGGTGGGGAGGCTTTCACCTTGCCGTACATGTGAAAAGGAAAAAATATATGTAACTCGCCTTTTTTTTTACCTTTCGCTGGACGTGCGCACTGCAGGCTGCGAATCCCCAGTTGTGGTTGTCCTGAGTGGAAGTATGGAGCCAGGCTACTTCAGAGGAGACACCTTGGCACTGTACCACCCGCCGAACATCCATGCAGGCGACGTGGTGGTATACCAAATAAATGGAAGAGACATCCCCATTGTGCATAGGATATTAAATATTCACATATCGAAGGACAACAAATTTCATTTGTTATCAAAAGGGGACAATAACAACATTGACGACAGAGGGCTCTATGAGTACGATCAGTATTGGCTTGAAAACGAACATGTGCTTGGTCTCTCAATTGGATATGCCCCATATATCGGAATGCTAACCATATGGGTTAATGAATACCCTGTCATGAAGTGGGCAATTGTGTCGCTCATGTTGTTTATGATATTACTTGGGTATGAGTGAATGGTGGGGTGAATTTTTTTTTCTTTTTTTTCTTTTTTTTTTCCCAAAATGGCTAGCTATTTTGGTGTATTTCTCACCCTGTCGGAAAACTCTCCTTTGTTCCCCTCTTAAAGATGAATAAAACAAATGTTAATCATTCTATTTTGTAACTTTCGTCATGTTAGGGACATGGATTGTTCTGTTCGTGTTGGTTGTCTATCTTGTGTGATGTGCCTTTTTCCCATCGGTTCTTCCTACTAGTACATTTTTGTCCCTTTAGCGGTGCCTTTTTGGCTGTTTTTTTTTTTTTTTTTTTTTTTCACCGCAAAAAGGGGGCAAGCCATCTGGACTACGCGGAAGAATAACACTGCCTTGATCAGACAGTTACATGAACTTTTCACGTGCAACGGTTTAAGTGTGCGATAAAGGGAAAATATAAACGGTGTGTCTTTATGCACAATGGGAAAGTGCTAATTAGACCATGTACAAAAGTGTGCATGCTCACTGGTACAATTGGGAATTTCCCTTTTTTTTTTTTTTTTTTTTTTTATCACCCATTATATATGTGGACATGTGTATTTTGCTATGTATCTACACCATGTGTCGCAATGTTTCGAATCGGGCCTGGTGGGTCGTGCTCCAGATGGGGAGTGTACGCGTGGGTGCCTGCACACCCTCTTGTGCATGTCGTCCTCGCCGCTACGACCGAACCGATGGACGCCGCATATACTTTCCTGTACATGTGCAAACGTCGCTCGCCTCCTCGTCAAATGTTCTCGCCGAGTTGGGTGATCCCTCCTGAACGTATGCAAGTGTCTTTTTGTGATGTTTAATTTTTTTTTGTTTACTTTCACCATTAAGCCAACCGTTGTTAAAAGACAACCATTTCTTGTTTTAAGTGACCACCTATCTGTGTCTTTTTGGCTAGGCACACATTACCACCTGGTTTTTCTCCTTGCGCGCAAAATGAATAATGGATACCTTTTCATCCTGCTGGCAATATTGACAAGGTGGGGCAGCAACCTCCATTTTGGTTGTACTCCTCAGAATGAGCACGACAAAACGGAGAGCGCGGTAAGCTCAAGTGGGATTTTAAAAAACGTCGTCAAGCATGCCCCCAAAGTGAGTTCCAAAGAAATTAACGATAGCGAAATACGGATAGCCAAAATGGCACACGAAGAGGAAAACAAAAGATTGCAAAAAATGGGCAAGTGTGCAAAAGATTATACATTACCTTGCCCAAAATTTTGGAAAAAAAAAATTATGAACAAGTCAGAAAATATTTGTATAGCTAGCTCAACGTACAACGGATTTTGCAACACCCGTCAATCCTTCGACAATTTTACACAAACGGAAAAGATGAAATTTGAAACTAGTTGTAATGTAGAATGGGGGTGCAAAAATGTCGTAGCGGATGCATGCGAAAGTGGGAAAAGAAATTATAACGAACCATGTCCTGAGGGTTTCATCTCCCAAAATGACAATACTTGCGCAGCTGACCTGACTGTGTATGATGGCCTCTGCAATGGAGAAAAAATAGACTTTACCCATCTCACCAGTGAGGAAAAACAAAATTGGAGTGTTGCCTGCGAAGCATATTGGCCTTGTTACGTCGATTGCTCACTGAACAACCAAGCACTCTCCATGTGTCCTTCGAACTGGAAGCAAATAAATTCATACGAATGTATCCCACCTCATAGTTACAATGGGCCATGCAAAGACACCAAAAACTTTAAATTTTTTAATGAACTGATGAAAATAAAATTTGAGGAGAAATGCAAAGTTACTTTTGTGTGCACAGATTTGTGTGAAAAAAATTATCGGCAAGAGTGCCCCTTAAATTGGATGAAGAAAAATGGTTACTGTTTAGCTCCGCCGTCTTTCAACTTGTGCGACAGGAAAAAATATTTTTATAGTAACTTAACGCAGGATGAGAAGAAGAAGTTCGAGGAGGAATGCTCAGTTCAGTGGCCTTGTCGAAAGAGCCCCTTTTGTGACATGGACTGGACCGCTGAGTGTCCCCTTAACTGGGCGAAGGAGGCACCCCGGAAAGGCGGAGACCAGGAGCAGGGCGACAAATACAATTGCACTCCCGATTCATCCCTGTACAACGGGAAGTGTGCGTTTATGTCCCTCCCGAACGGCGCTGACGAAGAGACCAAGCGGGAGTTGGCTTCCACGTGCGACACCCCCTGGCCTTGCTCTGCTACAGGCATTGCTGAAGGCGCTACTGCGGAAGGAGGTCCTCTTCCGCCATCGGATGACGAAGGAGTAGAACGACGCGCGCGCGCGGTCACAAATGGCCCCGTCACTCTTCAAGGCGGCGTGCACACCAGCACGGGGCCCGCCTATCGCGTGGTCGACAGCCAGGAGGACTTGCCCCTCGCGGACATCATGCGTTGAGTGGAACAACGGTGGGGACAGGCATTCCTCGGAAGAGCTGCAAAAATTGTGTAGCAATTCCTATATGGGTGCCCCTTCTCCCCGTTTTGATGCTGTCGCCGAGGGATAGCTGTATCCCCATCTCCTTCCAAATGGAGCATTTGGAAGAGCATTTTACGGCTCATCCCTTCACACTGATGAACCCTCTGCGAGGAAAGTTGCGCCACTTTTTATTCATCGTGTTGCGATTTGATCTGTCCACAGACAAAAAACTGCCCCCAGCGACAAAAAAAAAAAATCAAACAACACAAAGCCTATTTTGCACACATTTTATGTGCAGGAGCAACTTGGTATTTTTTTTTTTTTTTTCCAACAAAGGTGTACTTTTGTAAAGGTGGCACATTATGTGCTCTGGTGGTATTCTTCTCTGCCATTTTGAGGACCCCCTCTCCTCCCCCCCTTTAGGGCTGTTTCCTTTTGAGGAAGGCGTCCCTAAAATGCTTAAGTGGGCTTTACACCCCCCCTGGGTTTAATTTTCCCACCGCGCCCACATATCCGATACACCTGCACCTGTGGGGTGTATTTATCCTCCTGGTTCAACGTATCTCGAACGCCCCACGTTAGCGACCCCTTTTGTCGACCATTTGTGGCCAATGCGCTGATGGCTCTTCACAGAAAAGGGTAAAAAAAAACAACAAAAAAGAGAAAGAAAAAAACAAAAAAAAAAAATGCCCGGTGGACTATTTCTTCCCACTCGCCAACTCTTCGAATTTCCCCTTTTTTAAAAAACACCATGCACGTGGAAATGCAACATTTTGGCGAAAAAAAAAAAAAAAAAAATACACTTCTCCAATTCGCACTGCGGCTATTGCGTGAACAACGCCTAAACTGACAACACGCAAGCGGGCGGCAGGGCGCGAAGCAACAAGAGAAAAAAAAAAGAATAACACAGGCTTTTCGACGGCCAAGACCTGGTCAAGCACGAACAACCGTGGGACTTGGCGCCAGATTCCGTTCAGACTCTCAGCACCAAGCAGAGTTAGCAACAAAAAGTGAGTGGCAAACACTCCGCGTCCATCATCACCCTCGCTTCAACGTTGGGGAGGCATCGATACGGGGGAAGGAATTACACGGGGTTGGTGTGGGAACCTATCTCGAAAAAGTAAAAACACCACAAAGAAATACACACACACACACACGGGTAAGGAAAGACGTCAAATTGAGCAACACCACACAGAGACGTTCCAGAAGCAGTCTTGGACCGCTTCCCCCCCATGCGGAACATTTAGTGGTGCCGCACCAAGCATGGCGAGCGCAACCCACGCCGACGGAGGAAAAAAAAACACCAACCAAGGAGGAACCACTTCCTATGATGACTTCATCGAATTGAGGAAGAGAATTATCCTCAAGGAAAAAGAACTTTTGGAAAAAAAAAAAAAAAAAAGGGCAGAAGAAGCAAGTGTGAAAAATGGAGGAGAAGAAATTGCTGTGAAGGAGGAGGTGGAGGGACAGAAGGGGAAAGTCGTCATGTACAGGTCCTTTGACGAGTTTTACAAGTATAAAAAGAATTTTGAGGATCACGAGGTGAAGGTGAAGAGGGACGCCATGAAGTCACTCAGTAAGTGCAGCGCTAGTGGCGCTAGTTATGTAGGCGGCAGCAGTGACGCAACTGGTGGTAATGATGCAAGCGGTCCTAACGACGTTCACGCTGCTAACAATGTGCACGCTGCTAACGAACGGGGAGAGCGCGGCGACCGCGGCGACCACCGGTACTCGTACATCAAACTAAAAACGGAGAGACAAGGTACCGTCAAACAGCTGAAGGAGTACTTCCAGAAAATGCAGGAGGACCAAATACAAAAGAGAAACAACGAGATGCTTCAGAAGAGAGACAAAAAGGGGGCCACAAGTGCTTCAGACAAAGGGAATGAACGTGGACTGAATAGCGGCAACACCGTATTGGGAAGAATGGAAAACGAAAAGAGGTGCTACTCACCTGAGGATGACCTTCCCACGACGCTTCACCCCTGCGCTGGTGCAGTGGACACACGCGACAATCGAGCAAACTCCCAAAGTGATCACATGGACACGAAAGAGTTGGAACTCCTGTGCAACCTCATTAGTGAAATGAAGAAAAGCTGCGACAACGGGGAAGACTACATTGCTCATTTAGTTCAGGACCTACACAAGTCTAATAAGAGGCACCTGGTGCAGAAGATTCTGCAAATACTCAAAACCGTTGACAATAAAATAACCTCCGAGCAGGGGAAGAAGCCATTAGAGCCGGGTGAAAGCAAAGTTGGAGAAGGAGACACGAGAAAAAAAAACCCAAACGTGAACACGTCGATCAACATGGTGAGTGACAAACGTGTGGGGAATGCAGACAAGGCTTTACCTGATAAGCAAAATACAAATGGAGGCCATCCTAAGGTGCTTCCAAAAAATACTTTAAATTCGAGCAGCCTTCACAAAAATGAAAAGGAGAAAAAAAATGCACCGGTCAGAAGTGGAAGTCCTATCCATGTAAAAATAAAAAAATACAACGATGCAGTACAGGCAGGATATTCTCAAATGGGTCGCCCCCCATATGCGAAAGGGGAGGTGGGTAAGGCAGATGGGAGTCTGACCCGCACAACGGACCCAACAAAAGACCCAACAAAGGGGGAGAAAGGCATGGACAAGGAAAAAAGTGGTAAAAAGGGGGCACTTCAAGACGGGAAGAGCAACCAAACGAGCACCACTTCCAGTGATGAAACGAACAGTCAGTCAAAACGTCCACACGATAACGCCAGTTCGCTCCCTCCGAATGGCAACACAGCTAAGAGTGAAACCAACGAGGCCGGAAAGTTTGAATGGTTTTATGCCACCATGAAGGACTTATATAGCGAGGATGACGAGGAAGTTGGGGAGCCAAACGATGGACCAAGCGGCAAGCCAAATTATTACTCAAGTGAGGGTAGCGAAAACGACGACCTATTTACGTGGCTGCAAAACAGAGATGTTGAAAAAGTTTTGAGTGGAAAGAAACGGAGTGATGAGGGAGAGACCAGCGAGGAGTCAGGACTTGTCCCCGTCCCATGAAAAATCTGCACGTATCATGTTGGAACTGACCCATTGTGTGCAAAAGCACGCGGTATGCTGAAAGGGGCAGGGGGGAGGCGCAGAAGAAACTGTGTACCTTCATGTCCCCACCTTCCAATCACACTGCATTTGTTCATTTGTGCGCAGCGCAATTGGTGTAGGTGAATCTGCACCGCAGGAAGTGCTTTCCCCGGAAGGAACAGCAAAATTTAATTCGCTTCTCTTTTTGTTGCCCTCTTTTTAAATACGCACATATAACACGCATATATGTGTACACACACACCCGTGCTGCTTCCCGAGCAAAGCACCCTGTACAAGTTTGACAACGTATGCTTTCGCGACGCAAAAGTTTTAACCCCCCCCCCCCCAAACCCAATTTACGCGTTATAGCAAACTGCGTATCTTTTAACAACTCATTGTCTTTAAAAATTCTTCATTTTGTAGAGTCATATGTTCAAGTGTAAATGAAAAGGGAGGTGCACACATGCATGCACATAAAAAGGTGTTTGCATGCCGCCATATATGCACATATATATTCTGACATATATTTTCTGTGCGTGCGGTGGCCCTGGCCCTGGCAATTTGCACAGGGGAGAAGGCCCAAACAAACATACTCCGTTCTGTTCATATATTCTTCTTGCCACTTCGATCCAATTTCTTGTCCATCCCTTGTGTTTCTTTTTTGCTTTTCCTGAAGGGAGAGCACAAAACCGTTCGCGATGTTGTAGGATGAGAACAACACAAAAAAGTGGGGGGAAAAAATGGAAAAAAAAATGTGTGCAATTATACAACCTGTATGTTATGAACAGTCAGGCGATTTACATTAAAAAAAAAAAAAAAAAAAAAAAAAAAAAGTGTCAAACAGAAATGCACGCTGTTTACACACACACGCATACACACATACACATGGCATAGAACCGTACCTCATGGCGGAGGCGTACAGAAAAATGCTCCCCGGAATATACAGAATGAGGACGAATATACAAAAGTAGTAAATGTCAATTTGGAAATTTAAATTGTTGGGCATGGCGTAGGGGTATGCTCTGAGGGAGGGGGTGGCGCGGATGTTCTTCAGACTCGATATGGTACACACAACTTCGGAGGTTATTCCTATTGGGTACAATATTAGGGGGACTGCAACAAGGTAAAGGGGGGGGGGGCATATATATGTATATTTTTGTGCATATGGGGCATACTTTCCCCTTTTTTGGGGGGAGAGTGCCGGCAACGATTAACGTCGCGGCTAGCGCAACGGCTAGCTAAACACACCGCCAACCATCGCACGTACGTTTATTTCGGAGGGACGCCAACAAATTGACATGAATGTTCAGCACGTTGAGGGAGTAGAGCAGGTAGCGAATAATGTCGATGATGGCCCATGTGATTAGGCAGGAGAAGATCCACTTGTTGTTTTCGGGCAGGTAGTTAAAAATGAGGTACACGACAAAGAGGCGGCTGCACACTTGCGTCGTGACGATGCAGACCACTGAGTTGATGAGGCCTGCGGGGGGGGAGAAGCAACAAAGATGGTGTAAAGACCAGGTGTGTGTGGGGTGCACTCGGTCAACTGCTTAACCGCTTAACCGCTTAACGACTCCACTTACCGAAGAGCGTAAACAGAATTTCCAGAATGGCCAGCGACTGCGTCACTGTTATTAAATTTTTATAGTTGGGCCAAAAAGTGTTTATGGGGTACTTGTCCTTGTTGATCACATATTGCACGGATACGAAGAGGACAGTGAGCCAGAGGGAGCAACACGCCACGTTATAAAGCAGCATGCACTTATTTTTCACACTCATCTTTAGCTAGTCGTTGTGTGGACGCTTCACATATGCCGAGCGGGGTGTTCATGTGTGTCTGCTTCAGTCTGCGTGCATATGCTTCAATCCTCGAGTGTGTTCTTATATCAACACGTACACGTGCTTGTTAAGGACAATTATCCACCTTGTAACGTCAGCGCTACCTATGTGCAAACTAGCTGTGCATAAATGGTACTTCACATTACTAAAAAAAAAAAAAAAAAAAAAGGGGCAAGGGGCAAGGGGCAAGGGGCAAGGGGCAAGGGGCAAGGGGACAGGGGACAAATGCGGAGTGCGCGAAAAGTCGTCGATGTGGAGAGAGAGAGAGGCAAACACCAAGTTATGCCAAGTCGAGCAAAGTTGCGCAAACGGATGGTCGCGCAGGGGGGGATGAAGAAAAAATACACATGAATCAACCTTTAAAAGGAGTGCGCACTCGGGGAAAGGACAAAAGGGAGCAAGCAAGAATGAAACAGAAAAAGCGTGAACGGAAAAAAAAAAAAAAATAATAAATAATATAACTTCTCCACATTTACGTTATTTTTCTCTAAACATTATGAACTGATTAGGAAAAAAAAAAAAAAAAAATCATAAGCACACTACAAGCATATGCACATAATTGTGTTAGCAGTTTGAGCATCCATTTGGGCTTCTTCTCCTCTAGAGTGAAATGTGCATGTGCAGCTCCCTTTGGGGAAATTTTAATGGTCGTTTTTTTTTTTTTTTTCCCGAGCCGCAGCTGGACGACCTGGAGGGGACCTATCCTCCACAAGTGAGGCCTAGGTGTGTTACACATAATACACATGGATATAAAAATGTGTGACCTTCCCACAGAGGGGAAAACCACACGTAGAAACGTGTAACCTCTTTATTCTATTCTGCTTATTCGAACAACGCACCTATTATTTGGATCCTCACATATGCAAGTGGGCTGATATGCGTGCACACTCGAATTAAGAGCATAACAATCTGTGTGTTATAAGAGTGGTCGGTCCCTTACCACTGGTTCGACTCATTTTATTGGGTTTCCCCTCCTATGAAAGAAATTTTGTCAACACATCGGAGAGTACCAGTACCAGGGTCACACAGGAAGCACGACGCCGCGCAAATGCAAATGTTATTAGCGCATGGACGTGAGAGACATACTTATTGGATAACATTTCAATTTGCTTTTTTTTTTTTTTTATCATGTTCGAATATTTTGGGTGTACTTCTCATAAGGGTTACAGAAAAAAAAAAAAAAAAAAAAAAAAAAGGAAAAAATTTGTTTCGTACCTTTTTAAACGGGGTGCACACAACTACCACTACTTACTATGTGCCGTGGTAGGAGAGAACGGGCCAATCTATATGCCCAATTGTTGGATCGTCCGGGTGACGCGCAAAAAAAAAAAAGGCAGTACTGAATGCGGTAGTCGCATGTAGTAGTATCAACGCGGTAGTCGCATGCAGTAGTGTCAATGCGGTAGTCGCATGCAGTAGTGTCAATGCGGTAGTCGCATGCAGTAGTGTCAATGCGGTAGTCGCATGCAGTAGTGTCAATGCGGTAGTCGCATGCAGTAGCCGAACTTAACTGGCGTTCGCGCCACTAACTTCGTTCGCATCACCCTTGGCCGCCGCCGCCTGCTCCAGCTTGCGTTGCTCGCGCAGCTTGCGCTCCTCCCGCTTGAGGCGGCGCTCGGAGGCAGCTTTCTCCCGCTTCAGACGGTCCAGCTCCTTCTTAACGAGGTCCTCCTTCTTCTTCTTCAGCGCACTGTTCTCCACAAGCGCAACGGTCAAATTATAAACGGGGCAATCCTCGGTGGAATCCCTGTCCTTGGTGAAGAAGCCGATACGCTCAAACTGAATAGCTTCTCCCACGCTACAACTGGACGCATACTTCTCGACGATACCCTGGTGGACCTGTAGGGAGTTTTTGTTGATGTATTTTCTCCACCCCAGGTTATTTTCTTCCACTTGGTTTTGCTTTTCCATGGGAGCGTCGTTCTCTTCCTCTTCTTCCTCTTCCTCCGTGTGGCAGTTTTGCTTGCCCAGTTGTGCTGTGTAATTCTCCATGAGCTTTTCCACATTCTCATCGTCCTCGTTGGATTCAGGGTTCGGCTTGGTGAAGAGCTTGTCGTAGATTCTGAACTGCGCGTTTTGCGCATTTGACTTGGCTACCCAGTGGATGGTGGCTTTTACTTTTTTCGAACTTTCCGCGCCGCCTTGACTTACATTCGCGCCGCTCTTACTCTCCGGGTCATAGGTGCACCTGAGCTCGACTACTCTATTGGTGTCCTCATCCCTCACTACCTCATGACAAGTGATGCAGAAGGCGTACCTCAGTCGGACTGTCCTGTTTGGAGCCAGTCGATAGAAGTGTTCGGGTGGGTTCTCCTGAAAGTCTTCCTCATCAATGTAAATCTCCTGTTCGAATTTCAAAGTCCTTTGTCCCATGGATTCATTCTTAGGATGGTTCAGTGCAGTGAGCTCATGCAACTCCTCATTGTTCTGAACGAAATTCGTTATAACAACTTTAAGCGGCTTTAAAATGGCAAACAGTCTCTTGGCCTTTTTGTTCATATCTTCCCTTGCACACAATTCTAATAACTCATAAGAAATAATATTTTCTCTCTTTGCCACTCCAACTTTGCTACAGAAATCTTTAATGGCTTCAGGACTGTACCCTCTTCTCCTCATCCCGGAGATGGTTGGCATCCGTGGGTCATCCCACCCATCTACATGCTTTTCATTGACCAAGGTTAGCAGCTTCCTTTTGCTCATCACCATGTAAGTAACGTTGAGTCGAGCAAATTCAATTTGTCTCGTCCTGTATATACCAAGCTTCTCCTGAAACCACTCATACAAGGGTCTATGAGTTTCAAATTCAAGGGTACAAATAGAGTGAGTGATTTTTTCAATTGAATCCGATTGTCCATGAGCAAAGTCATACATGGGATATATCACCCACTTGTTTCCACTCTTAGGATGTGTCTTATGCATAATGCGGTAAATAATAGGGTCCCTTAAGTTTATATTCCCTGAAGCCATATCTATTTTGGCTCTAAGCACCTTTTCTCCTTCTCCAAATTCTCCTAATTTCATTTTTGTAAAAAGAGTTAAATTTTCTTCAACACTTCTTTCCCTGTACGGTGAGTTAACTCCGGGTTGTTTTAAACTTCCTCGATTTTGTCTTATCTCTTCAATGGACTGATCATCCACATACGCATCCCCCTGCTTTATCAATTGAATGGCCCATTCGTACAGCTGCTCGAAGTAGTCGGAGGCAAAGTACAAATGCTCGTTCCAATCGAACCCTAACCACTTCACATCCTGCTTAATAGATTCTATGTACCGTATTTCTTCCGTCACTGGGTTCGTATCGTCAAACCGTAAGTGAGTCCTCCCTCCATACTTCTCCGATAAACCGAAATTTAAACATATACTTTTTGCATGACCCAGGTGCAGGTAACCATTTGGTTCAGGTGGAAACCTTGTAATGACACATGTGTGTTTTTTCTTCTTCAAATCGTCTTCAATAATTTGTTGAATAAAGTTTGTGCTGGCAAAGGAGTTCATGTCTTCCTCCTTGATTGAGAAATTGTTTTTACAAAGCCATGCGCTCAGGTGGGGATACCTACCTTGAGCATCATTCACTCGATCTACTTTGGCTTTTTTAAAAATGGAGAAAAGGAGGAAGTCCACAAAGTTCAGTTTGTCTTTACAAAACACCTTCTGCAGGGCCATTTCTGCTTCCACCCTTTGAAGGAACTGCTCGTCGATCGGCTTGTCCTTCGCAAGCTGCCCCTTCAGGTAGAACTTGAGCTCCTCCTCGCGCACAGCATCACAACATTGGTCAGCGATATTATTTCTAGGTGCACCGCTAACTGCACCGCTGACCGCATCGCTACCCCCACCGCAGGTGAGCCGCAACAACGCCTCACACACGTTGATTTCACTCAGCACGAGCCTCTTCCCATTGAGCAACTCCACGAGGATGCTGCTCCGCAGGCTGCTATTCTCACTTATGATGAGGCACGTGTTGAAGTTCACCTTCACCCAGTTGTAGAAGTAAAAAAAATTGTCCGACAGGTCGCCTTTGTTCCGGATGTATATCTTCTCCACATTTTCCATCTTTTACAAAATTGCGGGGAGCACAGCGTGTGAAGCGGCGCGAAGCGGTGAAGAGCGCCGAATAGCGGCGAAGAGTGATGAAGAGCGAAGTGGTAGAGTAACTGTTCCTATGAGGGGGGAAGGTTTGGGTCGCCCCTATGCAGACGTTACCACTTTTCGCCTTTGATCACCGCTCGCCTGAAAGCGGACCGCACGGATGGGGGAGTCACCGCGACGATTTATCACCCTTATTCGTGAAAAAACGAAAAAAAAACAAAATACCAAGAAAAAAAGCGCAACGAGTTTGGCGATCTCTTCCACTCAATTGTGTGTTGCAAATCCAAAATGCATTTTTTTTTTTTATTTTGTCCCACGGGCAAAGATATAATCTCCTTAATGATTTCTTCTATGCAAAAATGTTTGTGGTTTAAGGGAGGCAGAACAGAGCTCGTATATCACAGGCGTTCTTCTCCCACGGGCCGTTGGTGCGCAAAATGCACAAGTGCCCTTTAAAGTAAAATTGTTTCGCGTTTTAAGTACTTCACCTGTTCCATGCAGAACAACCTATGCTTGCAAATCATGTGAACATTGATTTTACGCACTTGCCGGTATGCCTACTTTGTGAAGCCCTCTGAGGTTATAGCCCCTCCGCATCCAGCGCCTGTGCCTTTGCATAAGCACGAAAGAAAAAAGTATGAACCGTTCAGGTAAAAAAAGAGCACTTTTTTGGGCTCCCACCAAAAAAAAAGAAAAAAAAAAAAAACATACGTTGGCTACGGAAACGCTGCCTTTATCGCAGTATCGTTGCATCAGCTGCGATTTTCCCTATCGTGTATTGCACGAATTTATACTTACGCTCACGTGCGATACGCGATTTTTCAGTTTTTCTTCCTTTTATATATTTTATTTTACTTGCTCATGTGGGCCTTGCTTTCGCCGCCGCACCACTCCTCTTTCCTGGAAATTTCCCCAAACACCAGCGTTCCATATGTAGGCCTCAAAAGAAGCGGCGCAATTATTTTTCGGTGCGTTTTACTTGGCGGCGCCAAAATTGTCCCTTTCCGTCACCAGCGTGGGTTCAGGGGCAAGAGTAGCGGCGCCTTTCCCGACAGCCACATCCCCGCCTACAGTGTATACTATTTGTTTCAGCGTTGGTTCACTTGGTAAAATACGTAGCTCCAGTGGGGCATAAAAAACGGATAAGCCTTTTGTTTTCGTGCGGTGTCCCTTTTATTTTTTTTTTCCCTTCGGCTTTGCGCCGCATAAAAATACTGCTATTCCTTTCCCATTTAAAAGGGGGCTATACAGCCCGTAATTGCGCACCAACACTTTGGAAGCTTTATTTAATTTTTTTTTTTTTGTTCCCCTTATGGAAGCACCGTGACCTTCGTGCGTCAACCTTTAGGAATACCACATATATACTTAACCTCGCAAGGTTCAGGAAAAAATTGATCGGTGGCCCACAACTTTACGTTGGAACATTTTTTTAAATGAAAAAATATGCTTCGTTTAAAACGGTTACAAATTGCATTAGAAGGTGGTATATGTAATTATGTAATTATCTACGTAACGCGCGTGATTATGGAGTGCCATTTCTTGCAAGCGCCGATATGTATAAGTTAAACGAAGAGGTTGCCCAGTTCACCCTTTTAAAACACGTTGTTTAAGCCAGCACTGCTCGCGTGCTTTTTATTTTACTTTTTTTTTTTTTTTAATTTTTTTTTTTTTTTTTTTTTTTAATTTATTTTTCTTTATTTTATTTTAATTTTTTTTCCCTCTTTTTTGCAATTCTCCCCGCAAATTTACAGATCACTGTTAAGCATAAACATATACGCAGTTATACGTTTTTACATCGCGTAGTTAAGTCACTTTTTTTTTTTTTTTTTTATTATTCTTTTACCATTCTATTGTGGAGATAAGTCAAAATGAAAAGAGGAAGAGCTGGAACGTTGAAAAACAAGATGAGGATAACGCTTTCCCTCCCCGTGGGAGCTCTCATCAACTGCTGCGATAACAGTGGAGGCAAAAACTTGTACATTATTGCTGTACAGGTAAGGCATTCGCTTATGCGGAATATTGTATCTGCGTGAGAGCCTTCGCTACGCCCCCCCCCCCCCCCCCCCCCCCCCCCCCCCCCAACGGCTCTGCCACGCCCAAAATATATAAAGCTTTTATGATGATTTCAATGATAGGACAGAAAAATACTTTCATGTTGATAAATCCTTTAGCCGATATATTGAACAATTCACTGATCGAATGGCTTTGTATATTTTTTTTTTTTTTTTTTGTGGGAGGGCGTATAATCTCTGTGTGCGGATGGGGGAGTACTGAAGGAAGGAGTGTACGGTTACTATATTTCTGTTTCCTATGTGATAACACAATTCTCATTAATTTTTTTTTTTTTTTGTTGTTCCCCCCCTCTTTACTGACAGGGATTTGGCTCATGTTTGAACAGACTGCCCGCTGCCTCACTTGGTGATATGGTGCTAGCCACCGTGAAGAAGGGAAAACCCGATCTGAGGAAAAAAGTGCTAAATGCAATAATTACGCGTCAGTCGAAGGCCTGGAGAAGACACGAAGGGTACTTCATTTACTTCGAAGACAACGCCGGTGTGATCGTTAACCCCAAAGGAGAAATGAAGGGATCAGCAATAACAGGACCCGTTGCAAGGGAATGCGCAGAGTTGTGGCCTAAGTTATCTTCCGCCGCGTCGGCCATTGTTTAAAAGGTTTTAGCTGAACGTTTTTTATGGCGTGAACTCCCACCGCTAAATTTTTACACCGTACAGGCCCAACGAACGAGATAGCTTGTTTGCTGAGTGTGCACCCTATGTGCGTCATGCTTTTTTTTTTTTCTTTTTTTTTGCACATCCCATGCGCTGTGTGAATTTTCCCCTTTTTTAATGATACTACATGCACAAATAATTAAACACATTTTATGACATTAAACTTTTGAAAAGCGCTCGTGCGGTTATTTCGTATTTTAATTTTACACTACTGTAGATTTAAAGGTTGGACGTTGTTGGACGCTGCCGTGCGAATGAGCATTTCGCCGTGGCGTTGGCTTCGCGCAACGGTGTAGAAAAAAAGTGCATAATGTTATGAACCGTTCAGGTGATTTTGCAAAAATGGACGCAATGCTATACACTATCGTTCACACCACTTCACCGCTGTTGCTGCTCGTGCCAAGCGGACAAAACCAAATTAATTTCATACAATTTTAATTGCGAAAGGGGGATTGTTTTCTTAAATTAAAGTAAACAACTTGGAGGAGTCACCCCGGGGGGGGCGCGTAAAATAAGATCGCCACTCTTGGTCCAAGCAACGTACAATTTGCACACAAAAGGATGCGCAAAAGGATTTGTAAAGGAGGGGGGAGAAGAAGGAGACTTCACTTACGCATGCTTGCTAAGACGAAATAAACTTAAGATAAACAAAATGGACAAAAAAAAGAATCAAAATGTAGCCCTGGGCACACACGCAAATGCAAAGGCTGGCATAAAGTTTAAATCAAAGGAGGGGGTAGGAGGCGCATCACACAAATTATGTGCAATACGTGTGGACCTCTTCAATAAGGAAGGGCTCCGGCCCCCTAGTTCTTCATAATGACATAAATGCACATGCACGAAACACATTAATTCTGTGGACGCTTCCATTTATTTGCAAACGTGTAATGACACGTGTAATCACACGTGTGTGGGAGAGGAGGGAAAGCATTTAATAAATGACATGCGCTTATGACAAGAATGTCAAATGGGGAATGCACATATATATAGACGCAAAAACGACATACACACAAAAAAAAAAAAAAAAAAAAAAAAGAGTGGTTATAATCCATGCGAATTGGCTAACCAAATTGATTAATGTTACTACAAATTTAAAAACAATAAATTAAGGAACACTGTTATTCGTAACTTCGCCCGTTTGTGGTGTGGCATCGTTACGTTGGGGCATCGCTATGTTGTGGTCTTGAATGTTCCTTTCCATCAAAGGGGGGTGCAACGGGGAAAAAAAGAGACATGACATGGATGGACTTCCTTGCGTTGTCCACATGCAGAGACTTCTCAAGTGAACAACACAAAAAAAACGATCAGGATTAATATGCAGGCGAAAATCTGTAAGGGGAAGGCATTTAGGTGTAGGTGGGGGATGAATGGGATGAGAGCTACAGGTTGGAGTGGCTATGCAGAGGGAGCTACACAGCTGCCGCTACCCCCTATATGCGTGCAAAGACTCACCTGTATTATCAGTGTCCGCGTGGACGTCAGTCGGTTGAAGTAGGATAGGAGATAGTTCTGTCCCTCTCTCGTGTTGTAAAGGGAAGTGTCAATGTCCTCGTCGATCCGCCGAATCATTTCATCCTGCTGAGTTACCATCGTTGCGACCTTCTGGAACATCTGCGCCAGGTCCCCGATTATCTTTTGTATGTTTTCCATTGCATCCGCTCTGGAGTGCAAATAGGACGTCCGTTCAGGCATCTTTAGGGTCTGCTGCTGCCCACTGAAGTGTAAAAAAAAAAAAAAAAATGCATGTATGTATGTGGTCAGCTAAACGTGACAGCACACCTCTGAATATAAGTGCACACGAAACACAGATGTGTGTAGAGAGTACCTCTCAATATCTATATCTCGAAGGGGCGTGAATTTATAATTATGGTTGCTGAATGTCGACTCCGTCGTCGTGTAAGAGTACATGTTTCTGCGATTCACTTGCTTTTTTATGTGCTAAGGGTGGGGGGAGGTGTGCGAGCAAATGAGGTGTGGCAGCAAATGAGCATGGTTTAGTTGGGGAGGAAAAAGGGCATGCTGTCACAATACATGGATCCACACATCATCCACCGAATTGGCACTTTCGCAGAGGTAAGAGGTCCGCTGATGACCACCACAGCGGAGCACAGGGAAGGGTCGCCAAACCCTAACGCCAACCCCTACCTCGCTCCGAATGTGCAACACATCCTTAAATTTCTTCGTAAATTCAAAAAGGCGGTTTTTTAAGGAAAAAATAATATTGTCCAGGTGTGT